TACATACGTGTGTGCATGCGTGCATGCCGCACACACACACACGCACACACAAACTACTGGGAAAAATCGTTTTAACGATGCTCCTACCCTCACACCCTTCCCCAGTTTCAATCACTGTTCCCTGGGTATTATCTACTTTCAAAGAAGTCATGGAATAGGTCAATGAAGGCATCAGTTACTGAAATAAATATAAGAGATCTATATCTACTTGAACTGAATTCAAGATACTATATCCAAGCAGAAATGTTCTGGGCATTATGATTGAGTACAAAAACCAGTGTGAAGTTTGTTATGTGTCAATATGATTGTAAATGCAATTTTCTGACTTATCTGTACATGGAATCAATCATCGAAGTCCTATGTCTCCTTCTCCATATTAAATTTATTTCAGAAACCCACTACTACATTTGTGAGGGGAGGTCTCAGAGCTCTGGATCCAAATAATTCAGTGGCTGAAGTGTACCTTTTGCAAGATTTAGAATAATTCAGAGAGAAACAAAAAAAGAATACAATTTTTTTCCCATGAGCTATCTGAGGCCTTTGTACAACACAGAAGAGGGAGATTGACATTTATAAGAATCATGGTGAAACAGAAGTGGTCCCAGAACACCTGTGAGACCAGTGTGGTTTCAAGGTGACTGTGATGCAGCAAGGAGCAGCGTAAAGTCAAGTGCCCCCTGAACAGCCAAGAGAAGACAACCCCAATTTCACAAACAGAAAAAAGGAAGACCTGTAAATTAACATCTTAAGTCACACTGGCTCTTTGTTTTCCATTCCTCCAGTTTCTCCTCCTCTCCTTATTTTCACACTTAGGCTCAAAGTACCCACCAAGGAAATATCCAAGTGGAGAGTCAGATGCAAATGACCCACTAGGCTGTCACTTCTGTTGAAAGGAGGATTATCAACAGCACAACCATAGAAGACAGAGACTGTAGTCGAAACCCTTCCTGTCATACCACATCTTCAGAAGCATGGCTCTCTGAGGCCATCCAGTGATACAACACTTAAGATTCCCTCTATATTATCAAGATATCAATCAATCAACACATCAACAAATAAATAACAGTAAAACATCTGGGGTCAAAGTGATCAGTTTGTTTTCTCAAATTGGAAGTTGCTATTTTAATTTCCCTCTAGGGTAGTTTCTGGGTGAAGGGAATTGTATGATCTTTAAACTAACTTTTGAGTTATGTAAGCAAGCCAAGTCATGCTGAAACATAGGAGAATGAGATGCTTTAAGATGGAGGAAGACGACCAGTCATATTTTGTACTGTCGCGGTGATGGTACCACACACACTGTTGAAGTGTGAGGGATTAACTGGGTACCCGCTTTCAGGAGTGCAAGGTAACGACATCCACGTAGATGAAGGACAAGAATTTCCACAACAGAGAGGTGCACAGTGATATAAGGACAGGATCCAATATTGTGCATCTAAAAAAATCCAAACCTGCACAGCAATCTCTTCCTGGTGATACACTAGGTTTTGTTTTTCCTTACGCTTTAATATTTCATTCCTTGCGAACCTCCCGATAGTGCTCAGCTGATAAATATCTCAGTTGATGAAGTATAAAGTAAATACCCATTATACTTCAATCAATATGCTTGTGCCATTTCCTCTAATTCTGTAGAGGTAAAATCATTGAGAAAAAGTATAGCAAGTGAAAATAAAATCAAAGATGTCTGGAGCCACAAGAGACCTCAGAGATTCTCTCCAACTCTCTCATTTTTTCAAGGGGGGACAAAATGTCAATTTGAAGAGTTACAGTAGATTAAATGTGGTTAGATGGAAACTGAATTTTCTCTCACAGATTTTCTTAGGAAAGTGTGAGCTCCAAGAAGGCAAAGACTGGGTCATGTCTCTAGCATTATTTACACACACACACATGATACAGAGCAAGTACACAGTAAAGTTTGAAAGAATAAGTGAAACCAAGGCACAGTGACTTTCCAAGATCTCAAAGAGCAACTAATAAGAGTCAAACACCTTATATCTCAATATACTCTAAATGTCTTCTTCTGAGAACCTCTGTATTGAAATGTCGGAAAATAGCCAAGGGCCGACTTAATAAGCCCTTTGCATTCTGCAAGCCTGTGTGTTATGTACCAGTCAACTAATTAAGTCGTAATATTTATTTCTTCAAATAATAATTGAGGCTCAAAGTAAAATCTCAAGAAAATTATCCTTATAAAAAGCCTTCCCAATAAAAAGTCACTTTTTAAAGTCCATACTGGAAACCACGATTTTTTCTTTTTTGGTAAAGATGTTATTTCTTTGAAAAAAAATTAGTATGAGAAATAAGCATCTCATCATAACCATTACCTAAAACTAGTATCTAGAGGTCAAGTCATTCCTTCAAAATAAAATTTCTGTTCTCAGGCAGCCTGTTGAAAGGGAATCTAGTTTGTTCTATGATTAGAATTATAAAGGTAATCTATTACACTAAGTTTTCAAAGACAACATAGTTCCAAAAATCCCTTTGGCTCTTTTGTTTAAATATATGAGGACCTCTCTGTTAGCATACTCTGGAACATGATGTCTTGGTCCAATTGGTTTATAGGTGGCCGTAACCATGACAGATATCCCTAAAGGTCATTTTATACCTTGTAGTGACTTCTCAGTTCTGTACAGAAATCCGAGCCATCTGTGTGTGAACATATTAGCGCCACCAAATTTCCTCATCGACCGTCAATAAAATGATCAATTATGTTCCATAATTGTAGCTATCATATAGAATAAAAATTTTTAGTGACTATTCCTTCCATATTAAATAAAAATCCCAAGTAAAATGAATAATATAAAAGGTGTAATTCTGTTAGTCTAAAGAATACAATAGTCATTCAACTACAACGTTTCTTTTTAAGCAAATTTTCTTCCTTGAAATGGAAGTCAGGGGCAAGTATCAGCATATTTGAGAACTTGTCTTTTGTCTCAAATAATAGAATATCAAAATAGAATATTGTTACTGTCTTTCTCTGTAAGAATATCCCAGGAATGATACAACAGTGTTTTGATCAGTCAGTTCCTTTCCTCTTCTTAGCAATCCAAGAAGAAACATTTGTATTCCTTAAAAGCTAGAAAACAAGATAACAGGGGATGGAGAGGAGAGTAAAAAGCAGCTTTCCAGAGCCTGGGCCTTGGGTCTTCATTCTGTAAAGCTCACGGACAGCTTAAATTCCGTAGTGCAACGTTACCGAGACAACATCAGGTGGGTGGAAGCAGGGTGTTTCTGTTTGGCTGCTGTAAGCAGTGTAGATCACAGAAGAGTATGGGCGGTGATGTTTGTATACAAACATACATATATATAAAGCAGTTGAAAAAGTCAATTTTGCAACCAAAGAATTCCCTCTTCAGGAAGGGAATAAATTCATATTCAAATAGAGTGAGCATGCAGGGCCATTCAATAATACCTCATTCACACTTCAGAAGAAAACATGCCTCCTTTGCAGGAGTAGACTTTTAAGGAATACACGCATATACACAGAAAAGAGCTCAGAGAAATGTCTATGTTCTGCCCTGAAGGAAAGACGTAAAGTGGATAAAAACTCTAATAAAAATGAGTCATTGAAATCAAAAGAAGCAACAGTATGTTCTCCAAGTTTCATTCATTAGCAACCTACAATTACTGTAAAAAAAGATCCACTTGACTTTGATTTAGCAATCTTCTCATTTGTATAGCACATCTGCAAAACATTTAATGCTGTTGTGAATAACAGTGTCGTTTTTAGGGCGGCGTTTATTTCTGGTTATTTTCCTTTTGTTCATTTTTTCCTCCCTGAGTTCATGTATTTTTCTCCCTTCTAATTTTAAATTTGTTTTACTCATTCTTATCCAATATAGTGTCTAAAATACATAAGAGGAAAACAATTTTAGAGCCCTTTCACTAGCTCTAAACTATAAATTCATTTGACAGATGTAGGTCTAATCAAAATCACAAAATATGGCTTCATAAGAGACTTCTGCAAAATAAGGCAAGGAAGTACATGGTGAGTGAAATAACAGCTACTGACGCTGTCAGATCCATTGCATGTGCTGTATTCCTGCTTCCCCATCATAAATCAATCAAGCAGAGATTAACACCTCCACTACATGAATACAGAAACTCAGGTTTGTTGTGGTTGGAACCTTTTCTAAAATCTTAAACAGTTATTACAAGGGAAAGCTAGGATTAAAAGCCAGAGTATGACCTTCTCTGAGATCCGTATAATTTCTCTGTTGTCTCTAAGAACTAAGAGACCAGGTAGGCCAAACTCCTGTGGCCCAGGGACAGTGAAATTACTTTTCTGAGTGCACACAACCAGATGATGACACAGGCAAACCAAACCAACCTTTTTCTGCTCCACTCCACTACATGGCTTTGGCTTATTTCCAACGCTGAGTGAGAAACACTTGAAATACCGAGCTATTTCTAGAGAAGTGGTTCTGCCATTAAACTACTTATCTTCAGCTAATACGTAGCCCAATTTAAACCCTTTTGAAAGTTATATCAACTTCTCAGGCCAGGAAAACACTAATCACTGGCCAAAAGTGCTTTATAATTGTAACCTGATGAGACTTCAAGAACAGCCTTCAATGTCTGTATTCATAAGGAAAGAATAGGGATGATGATGAAATATTCTATTCTAATTAAGTCTACCAGGAAACAAAGTCTCTCTCTATCCTGTCTCTTTTAATTGCTTGTTTCATCCTTGCATTCAATTGCTCCTTCCAGCACATTACGCCCTATATTGGTAAGTATAGGCACGCAGACAACTTTGTTACCTGGTGGAATAGCCTTTAATCCTTGTAACATCTGTAAAAATCAAGTATACTAGAAGCAAACAAATCCTTCCTTTAATTAATTTCAGTGTGGTGGAAGATGTGGGATCAGGGCCACTCACTGCATTGTTCTAGAACATTTCATCACAAGGAAGAAAACCACCATTCACCCAACACAGCGGATGGCTGACTCAGTGCTACCCAGGTGAAGGCAAGGAATCTGTAAACGTTTCCACTACTCACCCTCGAGTTAACCACTTCCAGGGAGATGTTCTGAGGCGGGGCACTCGGCACTAAAAGAAAGAAAGCAAGGTGAGATGGCCATTGCGAAAGCCATGAAAAACAAACTCTTTTAAAAGTGAAACCGTGTCTTTTTCACAGTTCATAATGATAATCAGGTAGGTGATTCCAGGTGGCACTTCAAGATTTTCCTGGAGAGATGAAAAATAATTGTTTATTTTTTCTCGCTTGGGGGGCCAGTTATCCATCTAGGGAGCCCTCAAAACTGTTAGGCAAGAAAGCACCTGCTGAGATACTAAATACCACCATTTCATTACAGCTTTCTGGTGATAACCGTCCCAGAGAAACCAATAAAAATCCACGGGAGATTTCCTGGAGTGGTTTTAAAGGCTTAAGATACTGTGTATTTCAGGATCTGCATGGTTTTATGATGAAATATGTCATTCTAATGGTCACTCATGTTGCTTAATCCCTTTAATGCAATCTTTATTATCTCTTAAAATGTGAAGAGAAGAAATACATCCCTTTTTACGTGGTAGGTGTGTAATTAAACCTGTGTGTCACAGATGCGCGCAGGTTACTAAACAGCACTTGGTGACTCGATTCTATTAACAAAGGAGCCATTTATTTTTCTTTGTGGGTTTTCTAGGTGTTTTATTTCTCTTACTTGCATTCTGATTGTTCCATTCCTTCATGGAAGGAGAAAGAAAGAACATGTACAACTCTCTTTATAATACTTGTAATGAATATTTTACTATGTCAAAAAGTGAGTATCCTACCACGGAAGTAATTCAAAGACAGCCATTCACTGAATGACTTACGTGTCAAGCACGATTCCAGATGTCTCGGATGAACCACAAAAATAATAAAGATCTTGTCCTACATAGTCAGGAAAGGAAGTGAAAAATATTTTCCTCCAATATTTTTAGTTATCATTCGCTGTTTCCTCATTCTCACTATCCATTTCCCTATGATTTACAAATAAATAGGTGCCACAGAGTGAGGCTCTTGGTGGAAGTGAGTGGAATCTACAATTCTCTGTTGGGACTTTTCTTTATTTCCTGTGTTTGACAATGCTTCATTGTTTCATGAGGCAGAGGGGAAAGACAGTTCATCGCTTTTCTCGTCAAAATGTCAAGCAATTAATCATTTACAATAGGTTCATTATAGCCAATCAGAGGCATTTGGCCTGGAAACGCCTCTTAATGTGGTGGAACAGGTTGGTTTAAAACAAGTGGTGATGAGGCATTCTGCAGAGCGGATTAAGTTCCCATATTTGTAAATGAGTCTCCAGAGACAGTCTATACAGTCACATGAACTCCTCCCCTTAGCAAGTGTGTGCTGTCCTATATGCATAATTTATGAGCTGAAATAACATATATAGTTATGAGCGAGCTTTTTTTCTTGAGGGAATTAATATGAGACATTTATTACAGAATAAGAGAAACTCAGTATGTTTCCACGTTGAATCCTGCCTCTTTACTTACTAGCTTATACGCCCTGGGTCTGCTGCTAACCAGCTTTTGTGACCCCTGTCTTAGCTCTGTCATCTGTAAAGCAGGGGAAACGCAGTATCACAAAGTGCGGAGAGCGGGGCTTGCACTGAAAAGCACTCAGTAAATATTAGTGGTAACAGTTTCTAAGAAGCACATGCCTACAGCTGTTGGCCCCTCTGCTTTTGGACACAGGGCAGACTGGCATGGACACCAACAAATGTTACTTCATAAAATCTGTTACTAATCCATTCACATTGACTAGTTCAAGACAGAGTGGGAACAAATTGGCAAGACTAATTCCGTCCTATACAAAATATTAGGTTGCCTAGAATGATGCTCTCCAGTCCCCATGGTTTGAAGAAGTGGAAGACGGTTAACCAATGATACACTAGGTGGAGGAATTTGAACAAAAAACAGGATTTCTTCCCAAAAATTAAAGCAGAGCTAAACTAGAGATGACAGCTCACCAGGATAAACTCTTTATAGGCATCATAGCATAACAGGGATACTTTGGGGATAACTGATTGAAAAAATAAATTACTTGCATTTCATTTTGCTTTTATTCCACTTTTCCATTGCCCCCAAATATAACTTTTTTATGCTAAGAATTTCTCTAGCCTTACAGGAAGTATAATGCTCTCTATAACACATGCATCTAGACACATCACAGGTTAAATTAGTCACACAAACAGGAAGTCCTAAAGATGTGTCCATACTTAACAGTCATTTTTATAGGTTTGGCTGAACTGTCTGATTAATTCAATAAATATTTACTGAGTCAGGAGGGATACAAAGATGAAATACATTATCCCTCATAATAAGGAACAGTTAGTATAATGAGAGAAAGAGACACTGGCTTAGAGAACATTTACATGTATGCCAAGCACGTGTTCTAGGTGCTTATAGGGATCAGCCATTTAATTTTCACATCTCCCTTTTATAACAACCCGAAAGGCAAGGAGAAGAGGGCTTTATGACTCAGGAAGTCATAAAGAAGCAGGTGACTTGGGAAGCAGGTGACTATTAATTGCAATTAAATTCACCTGTATGTGATCTCAGCATGGACAGCTTCAGAAGAGAGGACATCAGACTGAAGTGAAAGAGGTGACTTGATTGTAAAGATGAATGCAGACGAGATTGGAGTGCCCACTCCTAGGGTCCCTGAAGTTCACGCCTTTTCTATCAAATGCATCTGACAGACGGAAGTTGGGGTCCCTTGCACAGTGATACTTGTGGGATTAGGGTCAGGAAATCCTTCTATTTCATGACAGGCATTGTCTAAATCCTAAATCTTCTCGATGATAATTCTTGGATTATGAGTGATAATCTATCTTTCTGACTGACATTTAAAACCAAAGTGGAGAATAAGGCCACAGAATTACAGTTCAGAGTGTGAAAAAATACTACACACAGTATGTAAAATATTCACTTTGTTTTCCTTTTATTTTCATAATTATAAGTTGTGAAGTAACTTATTCTGCCAATAAATATTCTGTTCTGTCTTCAATAACAGAATCAGATGGATGGGCTTAAGAATTGAAAGTGATCCTGAAGTGGTATCACACATAAAAATTTTTCACACTGAAATTGCAAATGAACATTACTCCTGTGTCGTCTTTGTGCTGTCCTTAAAAATATTCATGCCCTTCCTCATTCCACTGATACTGTATGAAATATCCACCCAGACACTTTCCCAGATTAAAGAATGGTGGATCGGTCAAGGAATCACAAACAAAGTCATTTTTTTTTGAAATTCAAAAACATCAATAATTTATAGAATCACAACTACCAACTGGAAACCATTGCTGAAAAGAAATAGTGTGCTGCCTTTTTAATATTCATGGAGGTCACTTCTCTGCATTTCTGCACCTGCCTGAGTTGTCACTGGCCCCATATCATATATTCTGCTGTGCTGGTTTCACTTTTCATTAAACTTTCCAACATTCTGTTCTCGCCCATTTCTTAGATCTCTAGTTTCCTCAGCTACTGCTTTGTCAAATCCATTCTCCTCGTGAAGATTTCTTCCTCTTTTTTTAATGGTATTTAAAAAATATGTCTAATCTTTCATTTGCTAGGCAAGGTATAAATAAAACTATACATTTTCATATTCAGTTTTAATATTTTCAATACTGGATTATCTGGCCTAAATCTTCCTGGCTTGTTTTCAGATTAAGAGGTTTATGTAGGAGGACTGTCCATCACTCACACTTTTAATCATCTACCCCAGTTTAGGAGGAGAAATAAAAGAAAGATGCCCATGGACATGAGTCCACACACATGCACAAATGCGTTTGTATTTATAGGAATGAAGGAAATCACAAAAAACTATTTTGAGCCCTTAGGCCGTAGTCACACTTTGAAGATGACTAATTTGGACACCGTGACTCAGAAAGTACATCTTTTCAAAGTTTAAATTTGACTGTAATGGATAGTTTGAGTGAATTAGCCAAATTTCGAATTTATGCTAATATATCCCATAAAGTTTAAGCTAGGAAAGCTTGAAAATCATACCTCTAACATTATTACATTATTGTAACAAATATGTGAGTCAAATTCACCGTCTATAACTTACCATCAGACAGCGTGACCACAGTTACATCATCGGTAGACACTCCCGGCCCGTAGCGATTATAAGCTAGGAATCGAAGACTATATTCCGTAAATTTTTTCAGGCCTTCCAGCTTATACGATAGTCCATCAACCTCTATATTCTGGAGACATAAAACACCAGAACCATTATTCAGGAGGCACATTAAAGCAGAAATGGTGGCCATTCTGTGCAATCAATGAATTGGATATTAGACCCTCACAAAACTACACTCTAGGCTTATTATGAGTTGTTGTAAAATCTGAACTGTGACACATACTCTCCCACTAAAGCCCACTCTACCCCTCTGTAGAGTCCTAGTTAAAACAGCACCACGCTAGTTTTACAGTCATTAAGTTCCAATTTATTTAACACCACCCAATTCATTGAATGGTGTGCGGTATTGACACCCACACCAAAATTCTGACAGCAGAAGGCAGCTTGTAAATCCATGGGAACTGAGAGTGGCTCCTGTCCCCTGAATGGAATAATTTACCAGGAAACAATAGATTTCTTCCTTCTCTGGATGAAATACACCCACAGCTCTTGAAACTGACAGATATTTTGCCACAATTGTTCTCTCTCAAAATGCTGTGAGGTTATGTTGGAATTGTTTTCAGCACTTCACAGCTGTGGAAATGAGGTTCTGGAGGTGAAGGTCATTGAGAAATAAGGGCCAGTTCACTCTAGAAGAGCCATTACTTAGCCCTTCATATCTCACATCTATCTTGTGTAACAATATTCTTTAATTTATTTAAAATGGATTGGTGAATTGCATCATTGAAGGACCAAAATGTGTAGTGAAAAAGGATAGCTTAGAAAGGTGGACATAAGTGGCAAATAGCAGGGGAATAGTGAGCAAACAAAAACATGGAATGATTACATAGGAGGAGCTCTTAATAATTCTTATTTTATGCTATAGCTTGGGACTTAGAATTGTTTCTGAATAGAACTGAGGCAAATTTTTTTTAATAGAAATTACCTATCATGCTGTTCATGTGGAAGCATGAAGACCACACTATGCTTGGCAAATTCACAACACATGGTAAGAACTCCACTATCCTAAGGTCACTTCTGGGTCTTTCCTATTTAACTACACACTATGCATCTTTTTCCACATGAAGCTGAGCACCTGGAAGTGAACATCTCAATGGTCATATGTATGTCACACGATAGAATCGTCAAGTTCCATGTGTCTCCCTTAAAGACTCATTTACTTTTACTTTATCTGATTCCTTAGATGGCAGGAGTGGGGCCCATTCTCTTGCCTACCTGTTCCTTCCCCGTGGACACCTCAGTGCAGAACAGTCTGTAACCTTGGACTGGACCATTTGCATAGGCAGGGGGTTCCCAGGTAATAAGAATTGAGGTAGGTGAGGTAGATACAGCTTGCAGGTTTTCCACCGGCCCTGGAACTTGCACTGTTTATAAAAGAAATTGATTAGCACAAAAAGGTTCCCTTTCTCAAAACAAACAGAACAGTATCTTTTGCAGTCTAAGGAAATTATAGTATCATGTACTATTTTTAGGACCATATGGAGTAAGAATATACAAACATAGACTATAAATACAAAGTAATGAAATTTTAGAATCATTTAATCTCAAAACTCAGAAGAGGACTAATATTAATCTAAATTACTTATTTCATTTTACAGTTGAGGAAACTCGTCAAGGAGTGTAAGTGACTAGGGTAATGGCAGAAGAGTGGGGTCCTTAATCTAAATTCTCAGTGTGGAAAATGCTCCACTTTGCCAGTAAGCCTTTGCCTATGTACTGCTAATAACTGCAGGAGGAAAAGGGAAAATGCAATTAGAATACTTGTACATCATGATCCTACTTATAATTCAAATAGGCAGCCCAGCTATGGATAATTTACCACGTTGTCTTTATTTAAGTCATCGTTTTAAAATCATGCCCAAATCTGGGTCCTTTAAATTCATTTCAGGATTTAATTTTCGCTTTCTAGTATACCATTTTCTCTCATAACTATTACTTCACTTAATCAAGGATAAGAAGCTTGTTCACTGAAGAAGTTAGACAGCACAGGTCCACAATCGCTTAGCCAAACCACTTATGCTCAGATGTGTTTCTAGATCCAGAAATTTTCAGATTTCAGAAAGGTAATATGGTGCATATGCAGCGTTTCATGCAATACTGTTAAGTGGGGTCTGTGGTAGCACCTTGTTATTAAATCATATGTTTGCAGCAAACATATGACAGTTACACCAAACAGGATTATTAAAGACTACACATAGCCTAATATAAGGTCAGGTCAGGTAGGGTGTAAAATGAGTTAAGAATTTGCAAAGTTTGAATTTGTGTATTTTTAAAACTTGTGCTTACAGACCTGAAAATAAATACATGGTTTGAAAATGGAAAATGCAACCACCATGTTAGTTTTGTAATCTAAAATAAACAGTCTCACCACTGCAGGTGTAACGAATACTTTGACAGGCTGGGTGTTTCCCTCAGCTAGCTTTGGAGAGATACACATCTTAGACCACTAATGCAATTCTGTGAGTTTGAACTTCCCTAGTCAAATAGCATATGAAATCCTGGCTAACATGATATCTGATGATATACTCCTTAGATCAGCATAAAACCTATGTCTCTGGATCACTTTCAGAATTTGTTCCACGGAACCCAGCTCTATAAGGCATCACTGCTCACATATTTTTTTGGAAAAAAAATATTGATGTCAGAAACATGTATTTAATGTCACCTTCACCAGTCCCCAAAGCCTGAGAATCCTCTTTATTTACAACTGCATTATTTTCACCTTAACAAATGATTGGTCATAATTTCTTAAAAAACTTACTCAGAAATCATTTGAAACCTACAGAAGAAAATTAAGGAGAATAGTACATAGGATATCCATGTTCCCTTTATCCATTTACCCATTGTTAACACTGCTCTATAAACTTTGCCATTCTTTCTCAATATTCATGTATTCATTCATCCATCCATCCAGGTTAGGTTGCACTGACCAGGGTTCTTTAACCCTAAATATTTTAGTGCATATTTCCTAAGAATTAATGTGTGCATGAATAATACAGCTAACAACTTCAGTGCAGTTCATTATTTTTTTTTAAACTGAAGTATAGTCAGTTTACAATGTTGTCAGTTTCTGGTATACAGCATAATGTTTCATTCATACATACACACACACATTTGTTTTCATATTCTTTTCCATTATAGGTTACTACAAGATATTTAATATAGTTCTCTGTGCTATACAGAGAAATTTCTTGGTTTTCTATGTTATATATAGTAGTTAATATCTGCAAATCAAACTTTGCATCTCGTATTAATACTTTTCTTTTTTTTTATCTCAATCTCATCTGTATTCCAATTGTGTCAATTTGTAACCAAGCGAGACTCTATGAGGCCTTCCCGGGACAGACCTCCCCCTGAATCCACACATCCTCTGACTGCCTCTTGTTTGTAGAAAAGCTTTAGTCTTCCAGGTCTACCCTGAGTCTCAAAAAGCTGGCTCGAGAGTTAATAACTAGGAAGTGCGAAGAAGTAGAAACAAAGAATAGCTGTTGGGCCAGGAAACTGGTAACAATTTAGACTATAAACCAGCCATATAGCAGACTCGCTGAAATCTCAGTTCCCTGAAGATACAGATAAGGTATGACACACATTCTTAAGTTGTTTTTTACAGGGAGCAGTCTCCCACCAGATGAAAACTGCGACCACAAGCACACAGACCCTAGAACCACTGAAACCAGAAGGCTGATGATGTGAAATTCACCTCAAAGCCAACCAATCTGAGAATTGTGTGAGCTGATCAGTCACCCTCCCTCACCTTGTCTTTAAACTCTTTCCCTGAAAGCCATCGAGAAGTTTGGGTCTTTTGAGCATGAGCTGCCCATTCTCCTTGCTTGACATCCTGCAATATACACTGTACTTTCCTTCACCACAAGCTGGTGTCAGTAGATTGGCTTTACTGGGCACAGGCAAGCAGATCCAAGTTTGGTTCGGTAACAACTTAAGCTATTAAATGCTTACTCTTCTTCACAACAGCACTAGAAATTCAAATTCCTGAATTCCCTAATGTTTCTCTTTCAAATTAAATAGCTCTAACATAGGTCTGTGAATAATACATCGTATTTTATGTTGATTGTGGAAATATGTGTGTGTACATGTGTGTATGTATGTATACATATGTACTTGTATGTTTATTCACGATTATATAAACAAAACTTGCATAGTTTAACATATGTGAGTCATTATATGCATATTAGAGAGAAAGAGAAAAAGAGACTCAAAGATGTTCGGCAATGGAAATTAGATGTGAAATCAATACAGCTAACAGCTTCAGCCTTCCATTTCATTACATTTTAGTATGTCAGTCAAGAACCGTAATAGGGTTAACCACTCATCATTTCCAAGATGTCTTTAATAATCCCCACTGATCCCCTCAGTTGGACAATAATTTCGTGGCAAACTGTATCTAATTTCTCTCCATCTCTATTCGAGTTATGTCTTTCTTCGAAGAATGGAAAGATTTCAGAACAGATGCATAATCTATGCAAAAAACTCATCAATCAATGTCAACCTAACCAACTACCTTTTTAAATTTCAATATTGCATTACAGTAGAAATTCATTATAACACCTGTACCTAAGAACAAATTAAATACTTATGTTGGAGTAAGTGAGATGTATTACATGTCACTATTTTCCCTGGGAACAGTAATTTCTGACTAGATATATATATATTTATAGTATAACAGGGCACTTTATAATGAGGTCTTATAGCATGTTAACCCAAAAATGGCATATAAAAGTTGGCTGAATCTTTAATAAAGCACGATTTATCACACATAATCATACTGATGACAGGATGTGTGCTTGTGTTCTATATATTAGTATGTGTGTGTCTGAAGAGAGACAGGATCATAGTTTAAAGAACTACAATTGATTAAGATGAGTCAGAAGGTATGATTTCTTGTCCCTACTCATACAGAGACCAGTCACTGGCATCAAGAATCAAAGTGTCCATGGACCTCCTTAAAATTACATGCATATTGTCAAGAATGCAGTATGTACAGGTGTAGGGTACATCTGTTTTCCATCATTAAGGTCTATGATGCCCTAATTGGCAGCTCCTAGTGGACTGGTTAATACTCTTGGTTTGTTTTGGTTCTGAAAATCAGTGATTCTTGATCATCAAATCATTTCTGGTGATTTTTAATTATTTTATGATGAGAAATATGGCAATAATTTCACTTTAAATAGGTATCCTCAACTACCAATAAAATGCTGCTCTTTAAAAAGCTGAAACATTTGTGACATAGATTTTTTCTATTTTATTTTCCAAATTATGGGTAAATCAAATGCATTTGGATTCATCTGGTTTAACCCATCAAATATTTTAGGTTTTCCAAATGTTAAGGTTTCTGATGATCAGGAAGTCAAACAGCAAATACAAATTAACATCTTATTTTATTTTCCTTTCCCCTCTCTGGCTCTGTGTCTATTCTAATATCTATTTGTCTACCTTCCTGGCTTCTCTGTACTGTAAGTAATTTGATATTTGTATTAATCAGACTAAAGTCTGAATTATGATTTATCAAGTATATGCTTCTAAAAATATCTTGGGAGTTTAAATAACCCCTTTCAAATAAGAGTGAGTATAAGGTTTTCATAGAAAAAGCTTTAGAAGGATCAAGACATGCCTCTGTCATCATAAAACTGAGTGAGATGGGTGTCTTCTGTCTTTTCACCACTACACTGATGTTTCTCAGCTGGAAGTCCAAAATGGAGACAAACGCTAGTGTCAGAGATTGTGTAGTTTGAACACTTGACTATTTAAAGTCTTTTCAAAATGACTGTGTAGCACAATGTTCCTAAATCACTAATTTAACAGCCCCCAAATTCTTTCTTTTTAAAGAACTAGAGTAACAGTGCATTTGGAAAAAAAAATGATCACACGTGTTGTCATTCAAATAATGATCTATAATTCATGGGTCCTTAATTCAGGCCAGAATGCTGAGGATGAGTTTACCTCTTCATCCATGTGCTAATATAAAAATGATTCTTGAGGCCATTTTTAAAAATGGATAGCAAGGGATCTAAGTAATTATCTGGAGTGATCGAAATGGATTTAAGCCACAAAGCTCTTATTTAAGCAACAGCTTCCACTGCCGACGACAGCCTCATTGAATATGTTTCAAATGCAAACCATTTCTGAAACTATTTGCATTTATTGATAATAAAGTGCACGCTTTGATTGCCTCTTTGATTTTTTTTCTCCTGTAGTTAACAGCTTTAATGATGTTTCTATGAAATCTGTTTCTATTCTGTATGGGGAATGCAACATCAAAAAGCCTGCAGGCAATGTAATTATTAACACAATAAAACCCATTCTTGACAGAACTATACATAGTTAGGAAATATGACAGTAATTTGGC